GATTCAAAGACTTTCTTCTCCCCTTAGAGACAAGAGTTATGCAATTTGGGAGTCTTTTAGATAGACTCACTGAATGGGTACTCCAATTGCCTCACCCTGCGTCCCTGTTCAGCATAGAAGAAGCCAGAGTGGTCTGTGTCCCTATTCACTATTGGCAATTTGGGTAATCCCTTCAGAGGATGGTATGATAAGAATAGGTTGTAAGAATTGGCTAGGCAGTTAGGGTAAAAGGACCCCAAAGAAAAGTAGCCAGTTTCTTGGCTAAAAGTCACAATGTCCTTGGGCCTTTTGGTAACATACTTGACTTATCTTCACGTAGATGGAACTGGTAAAAGGAAGGAGCCAAAAATGTCGAAAATATTTGGGAGCTTATATCTAATGCTTAAAAGATTTTAGGGTTAATGTTGGAGGGGAGGGAGTGGGTATGGATTTGATCAAAACACCTTATATGCATGTATGAAATTCTTAATAAAGTTTTTGTAAAAGTTGGAAAAAAAAAAAGCAGCAGCTTCTCTTTGAGTTGGGCATGGTGGTGCATGCCTGTGGGGACCTAAAAGCCCCACCTTGCATAGGTCTGAAAGGAAGTTACTGGGGGCACGGCCTGGCTTGCTTTGAAAGTCTGAATACTTCCGCACTGCTGAGGAGTGCATGATCAGCACGTGACCATCCTTAAGATATACCCTCAGGGGGGAGTTCCAGGTGCCTTTATAAGCTTTGTAACACCTGCAATAAATGAGTCTCTGCCTAAGACTCCCCGTTGAGTCTGAGTGTCCCCAGGTAATGGGGGTGGTGTGGGCTGGTGAACGGTGTGCTTACTCATCCCCAATCCTCACCTCGCCGGGGGTCACTGGTTCGAACCCCCAGCATCTGGTGCTCACCGTGGTGCTCAAAGGAAGGTGAAAAGAAGAAAAGAAAGAAGAAAGAAGCAAAAACGGATTGGGGCCAATCGAGGAGGTTCGGGGTAAGCAAGACCCTAAATATGGGTAACGCAATTTTTAAGTTTGAAGACCCAGTGCTTAAAGCGCTGAGCGATATGCTTAAAAGCAGGGGATTGGATTTGTGAGATCCCATAGCTCAAAAGGTTTGGGCAGAGGCGATTCATTTGGCTCCCTGGCTCCCTAGGGCTAATGTTTTTACTAGGGATACATGGGAATCATGGGAAGGGTTTGAGGAAGAAGGCAGAGATGCAACAGAAGTGAACCCAAAAGCAGCCAAAGTAACAAGCAGCACCTCGGGCGTGCCCTGGCCAGCTTCAGAGCCTCCTGAGCAGAAGGGTGGGTGGAGAGCATGGGGTCTGCAGGGAAAGCTGCCCACCCCACCTGCCTTGAACTAACGCATGCGTGGGGGCTGTCCCCTGGCCAGTGACCTGCAGGAGACCAGTGCTAGTTGGGCCCATGTAAAAGCCCGGTGGGACCAGCGGCAGCAGCTGCCAGGGGCATTTAAAATAAAAAACAAAAAAACTAAGACCTTTGGCTGTGCGCTGCAACTGGCTCCAGGACAGCTGAAAAGGCCCGGTTGGGTTTGGGGAAGGTGGCTCAGGGAGGGGCCCCGCCCCTTCTATTTGGGGGTGGCTGGGGAACCACCCCGCCCCCAAGTGCTACAGCCCCGCTGGCAGCAGCATTCGCCAAATCCTGGGCTGAGGGAGCCCTTAGTAAAGCCTACAATGTTTTCACTGACTGGGGCAGATGTGGAAAAACCAAAAAGCAGCTCAATTCAAGGAACTCATGGCCATTGTTTTCTGACAGTATTCAGACCTGTACACTCCTTAAAAAGAGAGAAGCCCCTATTTTCTTACAGCATCTTAGGGGGCACCAAGGATTGCCTGGGCTTTTATCCCAAGGCAATGCAGAGGCAGCAGGGATGGCTTACAGGTACTGCCTCTGCAACAGCCAGGGGTAAACCCCAGGGGACTCAAGCCCAATTCCT